TCATGTGTGTTTCAGAGACATCCTATCTAGTTCTGCATCCAGAATCTGTTGTTGATATACTGTCTCCTCTTTCTATAGGTACAGATATGTTATATGTACAGATCAGGTACAGATACGTTACCTCATGATCAGGTAACCTATGTATCATGTAAACATGTACTATATATCTCATTTCATCTGTTTACTGTATGTTAAGTGGTAGAGCATGTCTATAGTGATTTTGAAATATCTCTTGAGAAACATTGTGAAGGCTGTTTTTGATGGGAATAGGAGAAATTTGATTTTTACATTCTAATTCTGCTCTTTGGGGGAAAAATATTGACAGTCTGGGCAAATATTCTATTGTTTGCCACAGCCTTTCCCACTAGTTTTAGTGTCTGCAAATGATTCTTGTTTGAATGATTGAGCTTTTTTCCAATGGTGATTTTGTTTTCATTTTCCTTTTTATACTATGTCAAATAGAGCCTTTCCACAGGAAAGATCTGTCATTCTCCTATTTATTTAATTTTTCATTAATATCACTAGTGGCCCAATGTTACTAATTTTATTCTATGATTTTAAAATACAATATTGTAACTATTTTAATGCTCAAATTATCCCATATTTGGCCTTTAGCAGCTCCTAGAGGTTGGTTCCTCTGTTCTTTTAACAAGTCTGCGTACCTTTACAAACTACTCTTTACTTTCTGGTTCTGTAAGATGTTTCAGGCTCATTTGTCTTATTTGAGTCCTATAATTAACCTTTATGTTAGGGAGCTTTTGCTCCTATTATGGGAGAATTGTATTTGGGAATTAAGATTTGTGGACTAGGTGTACTCACCGATATTAGGATATGCTCATACTGGTGCCACTGATTTCAACTGAGCATTGAAGAACTCACTCTCAACTCCTCTCTTTTGATATTTGTAATTCTTTTCTCTATCATCTGACTGCAGGACAGAGAAAGGAAGAGTCATAGTACGTATCAGTTTTATCTACAGTCTACTTACAAGAATTCAGCTATATTCCTTCACAACAGAGGCAGGGATTTTGGGTAATATGAGAGGAATGTTGCTTAGTGTTTGGTTTTGGAAGAAGAGAAACATGGGAATTTATGAACACCAGCATTCTTTGCCATGCCCAATGTGATTGCAAATATTTTCTATATGTAAAATGAGGTGAAAAAGTTTGGGAAGTAGTAACCTAGAAATGACTTGTTCAATTAAAAAAGCAATTTTATTTTTCCCATATAATTTATGTTGGTCAGTTAGGGCTAAATACAATTTTATTATTATTATTATTATTATTAATTATTTTGTGGTACTGGCGATTGAACTCAGGACCCTGAGCTTGCCAGGCAAGCACTTATTCTACTGATCTATCTCCCAAGCCCAATTTATTATTATTATTTGGAAGTATTTTTCATATTAAAATAATCAAGTGAGTGGGAAAACACCACTGATGTTAAGTGTAGATTTAAGGTTTCAACTTAGAACAAACTTTTCCATTTCAATCTTTAAGACAAGTAAAAGTTTGATCATTTATGCATGCTTCTTGGATAGAGTTCTTGTTTTCTAGTTCCCAAATTATCATTATTTGTAACTGTGCAACATCCTGTTTATTACTATCAGAAAGTGACCAATATGGCTGGGGTTGCAATAAACTCTTTAACTGAGTTGGAGTTGCTCATTCTAATTCTTTATAGCTATATGGAGTTATATAGTATTTTCTTGTTCTCTTTGGCTGTCTTTACGATTTCTGATAAAGTCTCAAAAATATCTTCTGGAAATTAGAATAATTTACCTGTATTAGTGACTTTCCATCCCTGGGACAAAATACTAAACAAGGGGAACGTTAAAAAAAAAAAAAGAGGTTTATTTGGTTCACAGTATTAATGGGTTCAGCACATGGTTACCTGGTTATAAGGATGATATTATATGGTGGAAAGGCATGGCAGAAGGAAACTTCCCAATGGCATGGCAGCCAGGAAATAGAGAGAAATGAAGATTGTTATGGGTCAACTCTGCATAGGAACCAGATCAGCCAGATAGAAATTTGAATAGAGCCTTTTATTTACTGAGCTCAGGTCCATCAGCCACTTCTCTCACAGGAGAAGGCTGATCGGCCCGAACATATGTAGCAAGGGGGTATTTATAACAGAAATCACATCTAGTTTGGTAAGCAAACTTGTTATCTAGTACAGAACAACAGAAACTGCATTTATTTGACACAGCTGCAAACTGTTTATAACTAAAAGGTCTTTTACAGCTTAGCGATAAGTGTATATTTTTATAAGATATATCTTAAGCTGCCTATGTTACAGAAGATGGTTGGGGAGGGAGTTTGTGTTAGCTTGCTGCCTTGACAAGAAACAGTTATTTATTGTTGAACAGCCTTGAGCCGAAAGGGAGAACACATTTCTTAGAGCAGATAACAGGAAGCACAAGGGGTTTTTATAATTTTTTACAATTAAGGCACAAATCTCTATTAACCCTTTACATTCCCCATTGGTTTTTATCTGGGAATCAAATCTTTGATTCATTTAAAACTCATAACTTGAGTTGCCTACGGGTGTGAGAGGCTAATTGTTAGATCTCAACACTATTAACTTAATTGTCCGGATTTTTTGTCGTATATACGTAGTCAAACAGTTTATTATACAAGGTTCAATAAGCAGGACCAGAAGAAATATGATCATGGGCCCAATCAGAGCAATTATCAGATTATTTATCCAGGGGGATATTGAAAATAACCCCCCGTTATTACTTTGACGGATATCTTGAGCTAATTTTTTTAGTATGTTTATTTGATTTTGTATCTGATGGCTGTTATCTGATAAGTTAAAACAGCACATGTTTTTTTTTTTTACATGTTTGATAGTGAAACAATAGTAAGTAATCTATAGCAGCCCGATTGTCTAATATAGCTTGTCTATGTTTCTTTTGTTTTGCATTGAGTAGGGCGATGGCCGTTGAAGTAGCATTTAGAGTTTTGGCCACATTATAACCTAATTGTTTTACATGTTTTTTTTTTTTGCTATTTTACCAAAGTATAGGTTTCCAACAACACTGATTATCATAGCATAGGCTTCTGCACCAGACAGGAAAGTGACTTTATCATTATAGTCAGGAGGAAGAGGGATGTTAGAAACTTTTCTCCTCTTGTGGGGTGATGATGTTTTTGAATGGTGTAGCATCAAATCATCTTGAGACGGAAGAATTACAGTCAGCCTGCTTAAACAACAGGAGATTCCATCCAAATAAGCTGGGATATAGTTAAAAGTATGTCCACTGTATGTGAAAAACCATCTAGTGGATAATAAGATATTACCAGTTATATGTGGATACTTTATAAGACTAGAACAAGGGCCGGGGAGATGGCTCAGTGGAATAAGCACTTCCCTGGCAAGCACAAGGACCTGAGTTCAATGCCCGGTTCAAAAAAAAAAGACTAGAACAATTTAGAAACCCTGACAATCGGTGATAACTTTTTTCAGTGCAGTTTACAAATTGCACACAAGTTTTATTGAAAGTAACTACAGTCTTTGGGGTAACAAAATGCAGGGCACCAGGTGGTACATCACAGGTCCCCAACTAGCCAAGTCATAATATGGGGCAAGATTAGAAATGTATTTTAAAAAGGTTAAATTTTTAATATCTTTTGCAGGCTTGCACGTTGGTCATGTCATGTCAGGATTTCCTCCCCCAGTTTGGGGATTAAGGGAGGTGCCCGACCATACATAGATTCAAAGGGAGTGATCCTGAGTACATAGGGAGTACAGTGGGCTCATAATAAAGCAAAAGGAAGGAGACTCACCCAGTTTTTGCCAGTCTCCAACCCTAGTTTTGAAATGGTTTTTTTTTAGAGTATGATTTATTTTTTTTTACCTGACCTGAACTCTGAGGCCTATATGCATAATGTAGTTGTTTTTTTTTTTTTTAATTTTAGGGCCTTGGACAGACTTTTAGTAACCTGGGCTATAAAAGCCGGACCATTGTCAGATCCTATAGTAATGGGCAGGCCAACTCTGGGAATAATCTCTGTCAATAACTTTTTGTCACTATCAGAGCTGACTCTGATCGGGTGGCATAGGCCTCTGTCCATCCAGTAAAGGTATCCACTAAAACAAGGAGGTAGCAATATCCTCCTTTTCCTGGATGCATTTCAGTGAAATCAACTTCCCAGTGTTCTCCAGGAGACATACCTTGAGCGTGCTGTCCAGGTTTAGAAGTAATCTTGCTGGGTTTACCTGGGCACAGCGGAGACACCTTTGGCTGGTTTCCTTAGTCATTTGATTCAGTTTGGGTATGAAGTAGGATTTCCGCAACAATTTAGCCAATTTATTTCCTCCCAAGTGAGTCCCTTGGTGTATCTGCTGAATAAGCTCTTGGCCTAGTGCCTCAGGAAGGAGAATCCTGCTGTCCCGCAGCATTTGCCAGCCATCCTGTGTTGGCGTGGTTTTTAAGCTTTTAGCCAACAAAAGATCTGTATCAGAGTAAGTGGGCTGATCCAGCACTCTGGGTGGCAGGACAGGCAAGAGTGCCTTGA